CTTTGGAAGGCATTTGTATAGAAGATTGTCTGACAGCCTTTATATTTGCGTTTAAGTTTACTCGCATCCCTAGACTTGGTTTCATGTAAAAAGAAAATGTTAATTACATTATATTTCATCTGTCCGATTTCGCTGGCAGGTTAAGGTGGTCCTGGTCCCTCAGGATGCTTTTTCCCTTAGTAAATGTCATATGTAAATAAAAGCAACTGACTTATTTGGGATTTTTTTTCTCTTGATAAATGTTTGTTGAACATAAATTTATTTTTACCTTATGTGCTAAGAACTAAACTATATAATCTATTTTACCCTAAAAATCATGCCTATGTTTTTGAACAGAATTGTCTTTTATTCAGTGTGCTTGTCAGTTTGTAGGGGTTTTTTTTGGTTTTACAAAACCAAGCTATAATTGCTCTTAATCATTTTATAATCAATTTTCAGTATAAAGGGAACTCTTACTAATATGCTGTTGATTTATCATGTGTTTGATAAAACACAAATCTAAAAAGTTATATCACTTAGTGATATATATTATCAGGACATTCTGGCAAAACTAAATTACTTAAACATTTTAATTATTAGTTAAACATTTTAATTAGGCTAGTTCTTTTGAGAAGTGTCTACAGAGTATGTTTAGAGAAAAAATACAAAACATAGGTACACCAAAAGTACACCCTGAAGCCAGCCTACGCTGCTTGACCTGTCAGCGGCATTTGACACAGTGCATCTTTGGCTTCCAGAACTCAGCTTTCTGGGTTCTCCCCCACCTCCGTGGCCACTCCTCAGTCTCTTTTGCAGGTCCTTCCTCACTTGCCTCGCCCACAGACGTTAGTGTGTCTCTCCTAGGGTACGCCTTCTCTTCGTCTGTATTCATTCACGGAGTGATTCAGTGCCATGACTTAAAAAAACATAATTTATCGAAGCCTTTATTCTCTACCTGGAATCCCAGACTCTCATGTCCAGTTGCCTGCTTGAAATCTCCCATGGGTAGTGTGGTAGAGTCCATGACTGTTCCCCGTTACTCACTGCCCTGACGTGAGAATACGGTACATCCCTATCGTGGAATCGGCCCGCTGCCGTATGGCTTGCAGTGACTCCCTATGGATAAGATACACTTCCCTGCCCCGTTGACATTCGCTGAGCCAGGCAACAGGCTTTGGTCAGCAGAATGTGAACATAAGTGTCACATGCCACGTCTGAGAGGACATTTAAAGAGCCATTGCATGATTCTGCCGTAGCGGTTTTCCCTCTTCTGTGAAAATGGCATCATCCAGATAGAGGCTGTACTTTCTGCATAGATCCTTGAATGAAAAAGACACGTGAAACAGAAAGACAACCAACCTATAACCAGTGCAGTTTGAGCATCACTGAGATTTAGGAGACGACTGATAACTCAGACGCAACATATCCAAAGCAAAACCCCCAATCACCTCACTTCCCCATCCAAAAACCTCCTGCCATAGTCTTTCCTTCTCAGTAAATGGCCTCTTCACCTTTTCAGTTGCCCGAAACCTTTTGGATTCATGCTTGCCTGCCCTGTTTATCACCCAGTGCACGTTCCAGACCTCAGCAAAATCCACTGGTTCTACCTCCAGAATATATTCAGCATCCACTCCCCGGCGTCCCTATTATCTTAATGTCAGTCATCGTCATTTCTTGCCTGAGTTATTGAAGCAGCCTCTTCACTGGTTTCTTCCACAGTCCTAGCCCGCACGTTGTATTTCAGCACAGCAGCTTACGATCGTATGAAACTATGTCCAGTTATATTTCCCTCCTCCAGCACCTCCTGTGGCTGTTTCGTCACCGAATAACAGACAACTGACAAGGCTTACAAGGTGCTCCACCACGAGTCTCCCCACTCTCTCCGATTCCACGGTCGTTAGTGCTTTTCTCTCCTTCACTGTTCCAGCCACACGGGCCTCCGTTCTGCTTTTCGTAAATCCTAAGCATGCTCTCAGCTCAGGGCCTTTGCACTGCCTGAAATACTCTTCCCTTCGGATGTCTGCAACAGCATGCTTCAAATACCTGCTCAGATGTTACCTCATCAGTGAGGTCTTTGCTCACTGCCCCATATAAAGCAGCAAACCCTCCCCCCATCCCCCCACGCCCCTCCCAGTCCTCTTTCCCTGCTTTATTTTAGGCCGTAGCACTTACTACCTGGCATGCTATAATTTTACTCTTGTTCATTTTCTGTGTCTCCATCAGAATGTGAACTCCCTAAGAGCTGGATCTGTAGAAACTAGAACGGCATTTGATGCCTAGTCAGCATTCAGTGAATATTTGCAGAACAAGGGAATGAGTGTTTCCTGTGTGGTGCTAGTCTCCAGAGATTACAAAGATAAAAGAGACATAGACTTAGTCTACTGAAACACTCACAGTCTGGTTAGTTGACCAGAACGGGCCACACAAATGATTACAGTGTAATAATGTACTTATCAAATTATCGTTTAAGTGGATTACTATTAATTTTCACACAGCAAACCCAGTTTTACAAGATAGGCACTTTGATATGCCGCTGATGGAAGTGTGAATTGGGACCATCTCCGTGGAGGGTACTTTTGCAGTCGGTATTAAGAATCTGGAAAATAGTCCTACCCTTTGACCTAGTTATTCCACTTGTAGGAACATAGCCTAATAAAAGAGTGGCTTCAGCATGAAGAAATTAGAAAACATTTAGGAGAATGGTTAAACTATGGCGTATTTGTAAGGTAGAATATACTACAGTCTTTGGAAGCATTTTTGCATAATATTTAATAATATGGCAAAATGCTTATGATAGAGAAAAATGTCAGAAAACATACCCAGCAATTTAAGGTGTGACTGCTAAGGTACATATGTTTGTGAACAGGTACTAGTTTTTTAATTTTAAAAAGTGCTTAAGATTCATTTTTAGTGAAAAAATGGGATACCTGCCTACATTCAGAATAATCTCAATTTTGTTTGCATAGGAA